TCCTTAAAAAAACAAATATATTGAATTATATCAATTTTGTTAATGCGGCTTGGACAATTGATGTGAAGACAACAACTATTGTAAATAATTTCCGGCACTGCAAGACTCAATGAGACGAAGATATTAGTGTTGAACCAAAAGTTAGTGAAGATGAAGGAATCAATGGATTGCGTGAAATTGTTTTTAGTCTACGGTATAGAAATGTGATGGATATTGAATACCTTTTAAACCATCCTAGTGAAAATGATGTGATGATGGAATCTCCTATTGATAAATATATTATTCAAATGGTACTCAATGCACCTATCAATGACGATCATGATTAAGATGATAACTGTGTTTTACCAACAATTTCTCCTAAATAAGCATTTCAAGCAGTCGTAATCTTAAATAATTATTTTGTACAACATGAAAAAAAAAGCCAAATATATTATATGTGCATTGCAAATAATTAGGGATGAAGTTGAAATTGATTTGGATGCAAAGAAAGAGTAAAAGATTTTAAATACATATTTCGAAAAAGAGGCGATAGAAAAAAATGTTGTCAAGCTAGAAGTTCGTTAATTTGCATTATTATGAACTTTTATGAATTTAAGTAATTATTTATATATTCGTTGGGTTTTAAACGATCTCAAAAAATTATCATCTTATACATTTAGCAGAGTTATTAATGTAGTGCACTAACCCAAGTCAAGATCGAAATTTTTTATTATTTAAGCAAAATTATTAATTTATCGAGATTTTATTGCATAGGAAACAAAGCTCATTTTCTATCTTCTATTTGCCTTTTTAGAAACCTTAGGATACGTTTGGTTTATTGTTATCAAGTTGTTTTAAGCTTTCAATCTTGTAAAACACTTAAAATTTGTATGGTAATGCGTTTTAAAAAATAAAATTAAACTCATAACATAAAAATTAAAATATCTTTTTTATGTCTTCATTATTTTCAAAGAAAACAACAAAACCTATTAAAACAAGAGAAATAAGCAATTAAATAAAAAATTCTAAGAAAAAAATTATACTATTCTGAAAAAAAAAATTAAAATTCTAAAAACATAAAAATTATAAGAAAAGTAAATTTTAAATAAAATTATAGAAACTTCTAAAAATAAAAACTCTATCTGGTTATTTAAATAAAAATTCTAAAAAAACTTTTTAAAAGAAAACAGAAAAATTTCTCAGTATCATTAATTTTTATTTTTTATTTTCTATGTTTTGTCAACTAAATTGATTATTTTTTGCATTTTACTTTTATAACGAAAAAAATATTATAAGATTTACCAACTTTAAAATGTATGTATTGTTGATAATATATTAATATAAAATTATTTTATTTTACTGAATAATCAAATTAATGAAATATAAAATAATTTCTCAAAATTTCAAACCAAACATGTATTTCTGTTTTCTATTTTGAGAAATTTTTTTTTATAATGACAAATCAAACACATTTTCAATAATTTTAAAATAGACCATAAAATAGAAAATCTAAACTAAATTCAATATTGAAAATTGAAACACAAATTAAATGGCCCTTAGCATCTTGAGCCACTCTACCTCAATTTATAGATCCATTTGTTAGTTCGTATTTTACTTTGAGGAATCTTTCACAGATATTAGGGGCACATGTAAAGGAACATAATACAAACCTTCAAAATTTCTTCCCAAAACGATGTTGAAAATTAAATTCTTTCACACCCTATTTTGTGGACTCAATCTATGCCGTAAATTACAAATTTTTACAGGCAAATAGTACATGTAAGATTTTTACAGGCAAATAGTACATGTAAGATTTTTACAGGAAAGATAACGCAAAGGGCTACAATTTTGATTCAGATACCATCTTCAAATTCATTCGTTTTCCATGTCAAAAAGGGTCCTAATATGAGGCTAAAAATCGGTGCAAAACTTTTCAACTTGAAAGTTGATATGTGATAATATTTTGACTATGTTTCATCATTTTAACTCCTTCCTTCGTCCAATTAACATCTAACACTCTCGAATTTTCATCACAAGATTATAAACAAGTTTAGAGTATTTGCTCTTTAGTCCTCGAGCTTTCACTTTGATCATTTTTCTTCAATTTTTCACCGTTTTCACCAATTTGCAACCTAAACAAAGGTATATAAGTATTTAGTGCATTTATGAGTCAAATAATCATAGAAACGCAAATAATAATGGGTGAAAAACGTAACAAATGTGCTATTATCAGATACCAAAGTCCTAAAGTTCTAGTGCCACTAAGATATCTAAAGATTCGTTTAACGGCCTTGAGATGTGATTATTTAGGNGAAACGCAAATATTAATGTGTGAAATTGTGAAAAATGTAACAAATGTGCTATTATCACGAGGCAATGACTGTATAAGAAGTTATGTCTAATAATAATTTGGGCAGTTTTCTTCGCGAATTTGGCCTAAATCTACAATTATGACCCATGTGTGGTGACCTTTTTGACCTCATTTGGTCACGAACTTTTGAGTGTAAACAATTTCATGATGTGAAGACATGATGAGTCGATGAAATTTTAATTGCCACGTAAGATATTTGATAGTAATAAACGATCACGTTATCAAAAACTATTAGGAAATGGGATGGAATGATCTAATTTGAAAATCAAAATATTATATGGTGACCCAACGACATAAATTGAAACATAATTATTCAGATTTTCCTAATTTGTAAAAAAAAAAAAAAAATTAAAAAAAAATATAGTGACCTAATTGGTATAAATTCAAGTATAATGACTCAATTGAAAATTGTGTGAAAGTATAATGACTCATAATCAATAAGGTCCAGGAGAAGTTGAAGCCCGTTTGGTTATTACATTAGGGTATGGGTACGCAGGCACGAGAAAGGCAAAACCACAGTACAACTGAACATAATCTCTCTCCTCAAATGCATTCCGCTGTTTCTCCTTAATCTTCTTCTCCGATTCTACCGACATAACTCAACTGAGACACTGAATTCAAGCCCCATTACAAACCGGAAAAAATATATAGTGTGAAGAAAACAATGGGTAAAACGGAGAAGAATAGAAAGAGAAGAATGGCAACGGAAGCATCTGGTGGGGCTGGGAAGAAGAGGCTGAAGAAAGGGAGATACCGAAAAGTAAAGACCATAGTTACCAAAGCTACTCGAATGCGTCTGACCCAGATACTTGAAGAGTTCCGTAAATCTGATGCTGAAGGTGATTTAAATCGAAATGAAAAGAAGAATTTTTTTATTTTATTTCTAATTAATATAAACAATACCCAGTTTTGCATATTGCTTAGTTATGAATTGGTTGAACGCTATGCCGATTTTAATTGATATTAAGAACTTTTAGGAGCTAAGTATATTTATATAATTCAATTTCCTCAAAATATAATCCATGTGCATATACCTTTCAGATTGCGCCTAAAACTATATGTATTTGTATGTAGATATATGATATTGTTCTTTAGTTTAGCTAGGAGTCAATTGAGTAATGTGTGAATTAGAAATTTTAAAAATTTAATGTTGTGAATCTGCTAGGCTGGGTCCCTGTAAAGTACAAGTTCTAATTCAACATGTAATAATAGATTGCTTGGACAATGGACGAATTATTATGTATCAGGCATCTCGTATTATAAAGCTGAGCTTGTTCGGGGTTAATGCTGTCTTCATTTGCTTATTCTTGTATATGGTTTGTTCTGCGCCTGTCTGCTTTGATAAAACTATTCATTGCCCAAATAAGACAATATGATGGCAGCCAATTTTTAATTTTTCACACATTGTAACATGTTATTTTCGTTCTCAGACAGAATAATTGTTTCCACCACTATACCAGAAAGGTCATAAATGTAATCAGATTATTATTTTATATGTTTAATTTCAATTGTATCATCATTTGACAGATGTCCCGAACTCTATTGTTTATTGGCTAAATATTGTCTACAAGTTCGGTTCATTTTCTTTTCTTTCTTATTTCTTTGTTTGCTACAGAATAAGGATGTCGAATCTCAAATATAAAGATTGTATTCTAATAATTCTCCTGCTGTGATTTATTATGTTCTTATTATTCATGAAATTCTTTTGGCAAGGTAAATGGTCCTGTATTATTGTTTTCGCCTTCCAAGTGTTATCTGGTGTGCTGATGTGTTCCTATTTTCTTTCTTGTCCATGTTCTACTGTGCCACGTTGTTTCCACATTCTGACTTTTTTAGTGAAATATTATTTGGTATGAACTACCTTTTGGTATATTATATATCATCGTCCATATGAAGCTCAACTGTCATAATGAATCACAATGATTTGGAATGTTCAATTATTTGATTAAGGTCTACATGACTATCTGACTGTAGTTATTTGCTACCATTGGTACCTTGGGCCCACATGAGTGAATAAATCTGGAAATTGGTAGCCTGTCTGAATACTTCTTATGCTCGGAGTTAGGGGGACTAAATGGAGTTTCATCTTTTATCACGCTGTGCAAGCCAATATGAGTTGAACTTCCAATACACACTATCAGTTCCAAGCTAGATGATCCTGATCAGAGTATTTTTGGATTATAATATGTTATTGGATGGCTGGAAATAGCCTGGAATTATAACCAATAAATTTTTTTCTAGAAAGACATAGGTAGGCTTATAAAAGGGTAGAGTAGCGTCAAATTAATGATTGGATGATAGCATTAAAAGGAAAAAGAAGCCTTGAAGGTTTGTCATTTTAAAATTGAAAGTTGAGCACTATATTTACAAGCCTGTTCTAATTGATTTAGACAACTTTGACCACATTTTTGTGCTGGTTATGCCCTGTATAGCTTACTATAGTTTGTAGTTGCATAAATAATTTGGCACGTGTAAATTTTGCTGATGCAGTGTATACACTTGAAGCTAATCTGTCAAATCAGGATCGAGCTGCGGTGCATATCCTATGTAGAAAAATGGGAATGAGGTCCAAAAGTACTTGGTAAGTAATTACAAGCATGATAATATTACCTAAATGATTTGGGTTTTAGGTTCTTTATCTCTCTAATGAACATAACTCTCTCTAGGCGGGGGGATAATCGACAAGTTTCTGTTTATAAGACCAAAAAGGAAGGGAAGGAAAATCTTGTTTCTTTCAGATTTTCAGCTGAAGCAAAAGATGTTTTACAGGATATGTTTTCTCGGTATCCCCCTGATGACAGAGAGATGGCTGAGAATGAGGTTGGAGAATGTTCCGTAAGAACTTATAAAGTACAACAAAGAAAAGGTGACATATTTTGCAAACCTGAGATGACCAAGTCTGAAATTGCAAGGGAGGTGGTATCACTTGCTTCAAGGATAGAAAAATCCCCATACTTGAGACAGGTCTAGTGCCTTATCATTTAGTACTTTAGTTTACTTCCCCGTTGAATCTTGTGCACTCTTAGTACTGTTATCTGTCAGCTTTAAATGTGAAAACCAAGCAAGTTACCGTGGTTCCATGTTACAGATCACCGAGGAGAGGTCTAAG